GTAACTTTTTATTGCAGCTGGCACCTTTTGACCTTTGGAGAGATCGTGCGACGTTCGTCGAGCCAAACTTTAAAAATCTGTAGCATTACATTTAATGGAATATAAGTATTAAGTAATTTTCTACAATGTTAAGTGACATTAGGTAATGAGTTTGGTTGATTATTATTATTATTTTTAATATCATTCATATAAACACTATCTTAACTGGTTCAAATTGTTTTTCTTCTTGTTCATAATAATTTAATAATCTACAAATGAAAAGAAAGTAGCCGTGGAAATGTTGACCGGTAACACTGTAAAGCTGTTTTCTCATTCCACTGCCTGACAGCACAGGTGATTTCCCGTCGCTTCCTAGATCCTTGACAACACCCCATGTGATTTTTGTCTGTGGTGGTGTGTAAAAGAGTGGATTTATGTGCCACCACTACTTTCAAACGTAATGGACTCTAAACATGGGATTGTGAAAGCTGTCGCTTCTATTACACTGGATACATTGACCAGAGTGTGGGAAGAACTGGGGCTGTATTCTTATCTCTTGTCTCGTCTTTCATGGATGAATGATGTCAAAATGTGGCGAATCTGGTCACTTTTAACAATATTGTCTTTGTTGATGACATCACGATACTACTAGGTTGATTATACATGTTTGGGTTATCTGTGCGTGCGAAATAGTATAGAATTTTAACCAATGAAATTGTAAAATTTTCAAAAATGCAGAGTACGTAATTATAGATCACATGGCAAGGAAAGCACACATTCAAATAAAGCACGTAATTTTGAGGAAGTTATGTTTTTTTGTTTTATAACATTTTTACAGATTGTAATGTCAGTTTGTCTCTTAACAAATAAAAATTTTAATAACCTAAGGTAGAAAAGCATGCGTACTTAGATATTTCTGAGTAGGCACTGGAAAAAATCAGAAGCATTTTTTTTCTCTCTGAAAATATTTTTTCCTGAGATATAGAACATTCTCAAATATGATTGTACAGTGCGAGTAGCATCCCATCATCCATATTGGATATAATACCCCATTCGCACTGAGCATTTTGATCTAGATTGTGACTAAGGTCGAAGAGAGTTCTGTGGTGCAAATGCTCTTGACCGTTTCAATCTCGACTGAAACGAGGTTCTATCACGATCGACTGGAGAAAGTTCTTGAAACTAGATCAAGTCATAAGAGAGATCCCACAATCCCACGCGCATGAGAAAATACAAGATGGCTGCTGAACATGTGTCGGGCTATCGACAGAGAAATAAAAAAGACAGCTGGAGAGATGACGACATCTGTCTATTATTAGATGTACGGCAAGAAAAAGTATTTATTTCTAACCAAAACTTCCATTTTGTTTGTTGGTGTTTGTGACTTACCGCGTAGTTACGTCAGTTTTATGATCGCGTGTAATAGCCAGGTTCTTCTCAAGCGGACTGCCTGTGCGAACAACACGACGTTCGACTAGCGACAGTCACAATCCAGATTGTAGGTAAATCGAGATCAAAGTGAGTCATGGATTGTGTGCAAACGTAGTACAGTAGAACCTCGAAAACTCGGCTCTCGATAACCCGGCACTCCGGATAACTCGGCCACACCCTGGCAGGGCAAAAAATCCTTAGTTAATTAATTTTCATTATAGACAGCTTTATAAAAGTATAAAAGCTCTCATAAAGTATTTTTCTGAGGTCTGTCTTATCAGGTAAATTACTGTACACAGTGTATTCATTAATTTTCATTTTCATGTAGTAAAGGCTCTATGCCTTCATAAAGGACGTACTTTTCCTTTGTTTAAGGGTATTTGGGCAGTTTATTCTCTGTTATATTCTCAAGTAAACAATACATACAAGTAAAGTACAGTATTTTCTGAGGAAACACTCGTACTTATTTTTTAAACCCCATTCCCGATAACCCGGCACTTTCACAAACTCGGCCACCCTTCGGTCCACATTAAGCCGAGTTTTCGAGGTTCTACTGTATAACAAAATTGAGACGAAAGAACGGGTTGAAAGACAAATATCTGCTTGTCTCTGAGAAACAAGAGAATCTTTGAGAGAAAAAGTTGTCCAGAATTGCATTTGGAGAGACGCGATGATCTCTCAAGACATAAACAAATGATTAGTTAATCAGCGACCGGCTTGTGAGAGACGAGAAACGAGGACTAGAATACGACCCCTGGACTACCGGTTGGATGTGTGTCATGTAATGAAAGGTTTCCACATTGAGCACTTGTGTGTTATAAAAACTATATACATTCCTCTCTCATATGAGATATGGTTTATTATTTTATATTACAAGTAAGACATTATACAAATTTTAAACTCCGATATTCTTTTTGATAAATACAGTGTTCTTCAAAACTGTCACACATCTGAAATTTGTGGCTAGATTTACAGCTGTTGTGTGAATAAAATTGATGATTATTTTTTCAGTATTTCAATTTTTCATAATTTAAACGGAACTTCTATACAAGGCTTACAGAATTGTGTTTGTTCTCAAAATCCGTTTAATCGATTTTGATTAAACTTTGCTGTTTTTTACGAATCCAAAAATGCAATAAAAAATGGTGTCCATGATGTTGCTTTTGAGATACAAGGTCGTTTCACAAATGCGTGAAACAAAGCGATATTGTACGAATTGCGTGACTATCGTGCATTTCTGCAGTCACTAACACGTCTTGTATGGGCTTATAGAATGGAGTTCATTCTCAAAATTTAATGGATTGATTTTGGTAAAACTTTGCCATTTTCCATTAATTGTGATGTGGAATCCAGAAATGTAATGTGGGTCCATTTATATGTAAAAAATCCAGCAACGAATCGCTTAATTTTCCCCGCAACATTTAAAATTCTGGTGGTTCTATCTGTTATGATATTATCATTAAAAAAACTGTTTACATTTTTAATTATTATAAAATGGCAAAAAGCTTAATTTTGAGGGAGGGGATGGATTTTATAAAAAGATAATTGTAAATGCTAATAATGAGTAAAATAGTGATTAAGTCCGACTCTATTCAAGATATGACACATGACCATCCTTATCTTCCCACCCCTCGACCTTAAACCACCAAAATTTAATAGCACGAATCTTTCTAATACATAAATCTTCCTGCGGATCATGTCTCCTGTAGCCTGCAGGTACGAGGATAGCCTCTTTTGTGGTGGCAAGTGCAGCGTTCACCCGTCCGCATCCGTCAGGTATTGTATAACGATCGCCTCTTCTGTGCCTAACGGGTGCAGGGATCACTTCTTTTCTTCTGACTCCGCCTCAATTCTGTCTCGATATGACAGTCGTCCTTTAACTGTGCTCCATATCAAAATAACTTACTGTAATATCCATTCCAAATACACTGCTGACTTGATGCAATATGTTTCAGTTAGAATGCAGACCATATACTGCCGTTTATTGTCCAGTCTTCTTGAATCCCACTGCTTTAATTTTATTTTATTGTAGGATACTGAGGTAAATTGAAAGAAAGGAAAAATGTTAAATGCCAAAAATAAATCTGTTTGATTGATCATAAGTGAATGTAATGAAGTAAGGTGAAGAGTAAGTTGACAATCACAGTTGTGCAGCTAGTTGCATTCACATTTGCTAAGTTGCATGCATAGATTGAAGGTCATACACTCAAGATTTGCATGGTTGTTGATTGGTAGTGACAGTATTCTGTGTGTGTGTGTATTGTTTGTACATGTGGTAGAAAGGGTTTCGTCTTAAAATGCGGCTTTGTGTATGACGCAGTCAAATTTTCGGACTCCGAAGACCACGTGTATCAAGTCACCAGCATATATTCATTATCAGAATTTTCCAACCTACATACAGGTGTGTGTATACAGGTGTCCAGAAATCTTGTACTCTAAATTCATTGTTATTGAGTGAAGTTAACTTGGTCGGCTCGAATACAGGATCGCTTTCAAGAGGATTTTTGTTTTTTTTAATTTACTCTACAAGAGCTTTACACAATCTTTTTATTTCTGTTGAATATATTTAATCAAATGCAAAATTATTAAATTTGGTTAATCCAATAATAAGATTCTTTATAGTTAGTGTTAAATTATGATGAATGAGGAAGACTATCATTAGGATTGATTCTGATATTGCATATTCAAATTGTAAATGATCTAATTATATTTAAATTAAATGAATGTAGAATTTTTATGTTACTGTGTTAAATTTTTGTACTTTCTTTTAACAAATCTGAATTGCGAACAGACGTTGCCTTAATTAAAGTGATTTATAGCTATTAAATATGTCATATAATTTGCAAAATCACAAACGGAAATGAAGCTTACAGAGAAAATTAGTGAAGAAAGAATTAAATTTGGCATTTTCATTATATTTTGCTACAATTAAGCATATATTTACGTATCAAGAACGATGTTAAATATTTATTGTTTAGAATTATCCTTTGCCGGATCAAATGTGTTCTATAATACGCTTGGTGACGAGCAATATTTTCTGGCTGCAGACCTCGAGCATACTTCGTAGACTTCCGATTAGCTGCATATGTCTTGTTCTTATGTAGCTGCAGACTTTAAGCCTGCCAAATACCAACCAACTCCATAACTACCAGTACACTAGTTACTAAAGTAATATATGCTAATGAAATGCAAACTTGTTACATGTTTTCACTGGTCAAGTTTAATTTGAATGTTCTTTGTTAGAAATATCAGCTTAATTAGGGTTATATAACTGCACAAGATGGAAAACGAGAAACTAAAGTTATGTTGCCAAAGCCTGGGCCACGTATCAGGACTTCGTGGCTATGCGTTGCTTGCGACTGCTTTAGATCTACTCAGATATTGTGTGTTTCTTATCAATATTGTTTTATAAGTCCAAGATGAGTATATAGGGTGGTCTAAAGTCAGTTAACCAAGATATATTTATTTTTAAGAATGGTTAAAATTGGTTTGGGACACTTACAAAGAAGCTGTTTCAAACTACTTAATTAATAAAGTTGATAGAGACCGTTTAATATTAAAAGTTATAAAATTGATTACAACAATTTTAGATCCGACCTGGGCTTCTGTAAATAGAGGGCTACTGATTTGCGACGAATGTTGTAGCGTGCACCGTAGTCTTGGAAGGCACATCTCTCAAGTCAAGAGTTTGAAGAAAGGAGCCTGGAGTCCCTCTCAATTGGCTGTAAGACGAATATTTTAATACATTTCTTATCTTACTCATTAGTTATCATATTAAATATTTCTGCGTCGTCGATGCAGATGGTTCACACACTGTATAGTAGCGGTGCCAATTCTATATGGGAATACACGCTCCTCGATCCCGCTAACGTTAAGAGCGGGAGACGTAAACCTAATCCCAAAGATCCCGTACAGTAAGTTACATAAATAATTATTTTTCGATGTAGTCGATACTTAATAATTCTTTGTTTTCAGTCCTTTAAAAGCTGATTTCATCCGTGCCAAGTATCAAAATATGGCTTTTGTATATAGACCGAGTAGAGACGAAAGTCCCCAGTTAGACGATATAAATAAGGTTATTTCGCTTGTAGTTCACTCAGATTTATTAACATCTTTAATGTTATAACTTTAACTTTGATTTTTGATTTATTAAAGCAACTACATTCGAGTGTAAGGACACCAAATGTCGAAACCACGTTAAGGTTATTATCATTAGGTGCTAATCCCAATTATAAGCATCCGGTAAGTATAGAAACGAACTTTTGTAGTGTTAATTACATACTAAGATAATTTAATTCATTGTAATCGAGTAAATAATACATTTAATTATATTTAAAATAGGACAAAAAAAATTCTCCACTTCACATGGCGGCTAAGTGCGGACAGTCTTCCCAAATTGAATTACTGATAGTTTACGGTGCTGATGCCGCCGCTACTGACGAAGATGGCAAAACGCCTGTCGACTATGCTAGGTATTCTTTAATCTGTAAATCATTTTATAATAATTTAATGTTTGTGTAATTTTTTTAAAAAATGAATGTTTTAGAGATGCCGGCCATCATGATTTGGCCAATAAGTTAGTCGAATTTCAGTTTGAATTAACGGACAGGCTGGCTTACTATCTTTGCGGTCGGAAACCAGGTACGTTTTCCTTTAAGTTAGACGTACTTTAGATTGGAAGTTGCGTTTCTGTTAGCTATCGAATGCTACATCGGTCAATTATATAATTACATGTAGTTTTAAGACATACTTTCTTAATAAAATAAGTCCGCAATACTCTGTCAAAACAGTAGATATACGAACCTAAGGTACCTCTGTTCATTACATTATTTTTATTTATAAAATATTTTCATAGATCATCAGTTTGGTCAACATTTTATTATTCCTGAAATGGCCGACAGGTTAGAGAATTTGTTATTAAATGCCCTGTTTATTTTATTTTGTTTTGAAGTTAAAATAATAATATTTTATATACAGTTTAGACTNAAAATTAAAACAATAGATGTCATTAATTATCTTTGAAGCTTAATTTAATATTATGTCATCTGAAATTTATTATTATTATTATTATATTTTTTTTTCCCCCTCCAATTTTATCAAACAGTTAATGTCGGAGAATAACTTTGATTAACATAAATGATTATTTCTTTATGCATAGTTATGTTATTAAAAACGTTAAAGTTAATTACTTTGTCGGCGATACTTTGGAGTAACTTTTTATTGCAGCTGGCACCTTTTGACCTTTGGAGAGATCGTGCGACGTTCGTCGAGCCAAACTTTAAAAATCTGTAGCATTACATTTAATGGAATATAAGTATTAAGTAATTTTCTACAATGTTAAGTGACATTAGGTAATGAGTTTGGTTGATTATTATTATTATTTTTAATATCATTCATATAAACACTATCTTAACTGGTTCAAATTGTTTTTCTTCTTGTTCATAATAATTTAATAATCTACAAATGAAAAGAAAGTAGCCGTGGAAATGTTGACCGGTAACACTGTAAAGCTGTTTTCTCATTCCACTGCCTGACAGCACAGGTGATTTCCCGTCGCTTCCTAGATCCTTGACAACACCCCATGTGATTTTTGTCTGTGGTGGTGTGTAAAAGAGTGGATTTATGTGCCACCACTACTTTCAAACGTAATGGACTCTAAACATGGGATTGTGAAAGCTGTCGCTTCTATTACACTGGATACATTGACCAGAGTGTGGGAAGAACTGGGGCTGTATTCTTATCTCTTGTCTCGTCTTTCATGGATGAATGATGTCAAAATGTGGCGAATCTGGTCACTTTTAACAATATTGTCTTTGTTGATGACATCACGATACTACTAGGTTGATTATACATGTTTGGGTTATCTGTGCGTGCGAAATAGTATAGAATTTTAACCAATGAAATTGTAAAATTTTCAAAAATGCAGAGTACGTAATTATAGATCACATGGCAAGGAAAGCACACATTCAAATAAAGCACGTAATTTTGAGGAAGTTATGTTTTTTTGTTTTATAACATTTTTACAGATTGTAATGTCAGTTTGTCTCTTAACAAATAAAAATTTTAATAACCTAAGGTAGAAAAGCATGCGTACTTAGATATTTCTGAGTAGGCACTGGAAAAAATCAGAAGCATTTTTTTTCTCTCTGAAAATATTTTTTCCTGAGATATAGAACATTCTCAAATATGATTGTACAGTGCGAGTAGCATCCCATCATCCATATTGGATATAATACCCCATTCGCACTGAGCATTTTGATCTAGATTGTGACTAAGGTCGAAGAGAGTTCTGTGGTGCAAATGCTCTTGACCGTTTCAATCTCGACTGAAACGAGGTTCTATCACGATCGACTGGAGAAAGTTCTTGAAACTAGATCAAGTCATAAGAGAGATCCCACAATCCCACGCGCATGAGAAAATACAAGATGGCTGCTGAACATGTGTCGGGCTATCGACAGAGAAATAAAAAAGACAGCTGGAGAGATGACGACATCTGTCTATTATTAGATGTACGGCAAGAAAAAGTATTTATTTCTAACCAAAACTTCCATTTTGTTTGTTGGTGTTTGTGACTTACCGCGTAGTTACGTCAGTTTTATGATCGCGTGTAATAGCCAGGTTCTTCTCAAGCGGACTGCCTGTGCGAACAACACGACGTTCGACTAGCGACAGTCACAATCCAGATTGTAGGTAAATCGAGATCAAAGTGAGTCATGGATTGTGTGCAAACGTAGTACAGTAGAACCTCGAAAACTCGGCTCTCGATAACCCGGCACTCCGGATAACTCGGCCACACCCTGGCAGGGCAAAAAATCCTTAGTTAATTAATTTTCATTATAGACAGCTTTATAAAAGTATAAAAGCTCTCATAAAGTATTTTTCTGAGGTCTGTCTTATCAGGTAAATTACTGTACACAGTGTATTCATTAATTTTCATTTTCATGTAGTAAAGGCTCTATGCCTTCATAAAGGACGTACTTTTCCTTTGTTTAAGGGTATTTGGGCAGTTTATTCTCTGTTATATTCTCAAGTAAACAATACATACAAGTAAAGTACAGTATTTTCTGAGGAAACACTCGTACTTATTTTTTAAACCCCATTCCCGATAACCCGGCACTTTCACAAACTCGGCCACCCTTCGGTCCACATTAAGCCGAGTTTTCGAGGTTCTACTGTATAACAAAATTGAGACGAAAGAACGGGTTGAAAGACAAATATCTGCTTGTCTCTGAGAAACAAGAGAATCTTTGAGAGAAAAAGTTGTCCAGAATTGCATTTGGAGAGACGCGATGATCTCTCAAGACATAAACAAATGATTAGTTAATCAGCGACCGGCTTGTGAGAGACGAGAAACGAGGACTAGAATACGACCCCTGGACTACCGGTTGGATGTGTGTCATGTAATGAAAGGTTTCCACATTGAGCACTTGTGTGTTATAAAAACTATATACATTCCTCTCTCATATGAGATATGGTTTATTATTTTATATTACAAGTAAGACATTATACAAATTTTAAACTCCGATATTCTTTTTGATAAATACAGTGTTCTTCAAAACTGTCACACATCTGAAATTTGTGGCTAGATTTACAGCTGTTGTGTGAATAAAATTGATGATTATTTTTTCAGTATTTCAATTTTTCATAATTTAAACGGAACTTCTATACAAGGCTTACAGAATTGTGTTTGTTCTCAAAATCCGTTTAATCGATTTTGATTAAACTTTGCTGTTTTTTACGAATCCAAAAATGCAATAAAAAATGGTGTCCATGATGTTGCTTTTGAGATACAAGGTCGTTTCACAAATGCGTGAAACAAAGCGATATTGTACGAATTGCGTGACTATCGTGCATTTCTGCAGTCACTAACACGTCTTGTATGGGCTTATAGAATGGAGTTCATTCTCAAAATTTAATGGATTGATTTTGGTAAAACTTTGCCATTTTCCATTAATTGTGATGTGGAATCCAGAAATGTAATGTGGGTCCATTTATATGTAAAAAATCCAGCAACGAATCGCTTAATTTTCCCCGCAACATTTAAAATTCTGGTGGTTCTATCTGTTATGATATTATCATTAAAAAAACTGTTTACATTTTTAATTATTATAAAATGGCAAAAAGCTTAATTTTGAGGGAGGGGATGGATTTTATAAAAAGATAATTGTAAATGCTAATAATGAGTAAAATAGTGATTAAGTCCGACTCTATTCAAGATATGACACATGACCATCCTTATCTTCCCACCCCTCGACCTTAAACCACCAAAATTTAATAGCACGAATCTTTCTAATACATAAATCTTCCTGCGGATCATGTCTCCTGTAGCCTGCAGGTACGAGGATAGCCTCTTTTGTGGTGGCAAGTGCAGCGTTCACCCGTCCGCATCCGTCAGGTATTGTATAACGATCGCCTCTTCTGTGCCTAACGGGTGCAGGGATCACTTCTTTTCTTCTGACTCCGCCTCAATTCTGTCTCGATATGACAGTCGTCCTTTAACTGTGCTCCATATCAAAATAACTTACTGTAATATCCATTCCAAATACACTGCTGACTTGATGCAATATGTTTCAGTTAGAATGCAGACCATATACTGCCGTTTATTGTCCAGTCTTCTTGAATCCCACTGCTTTAATTTTATTTTATTGTAGGATACTGAGGTAAATTGAAAGAAAGGAAAAATGTTAAATGCCAAAAATAAATCTGTTTGATTGATCATAAGTGAATGTAATGAAGTAAGGTGAAGAGTAAGTTGACAATCACAGTTGTGCAGCTAGTTGCATTCACATTTGCTAAGTTGCATGCATAGATTGAAGGTCATACACTCAAGATTTGCATGGTTGTTGATTGGTAGTGACAGTATTCTGTGTGTGTGTGTATTGTTTGTACATGTGGTAGAAAGGGTTTCGTCTTAAAATGCGGCTTTGTGTATGACGCAGTCAAATTTTCGGACTCCGAAGACCACGTGTATCAAGTCACCAGCATATATTCATTATCAGAATTTTCCAACCTACATACAGGTGTGTGTATACAGGTGTCCAGAAATCTTGTACTCTAAATTCATTGTTATTGAGTGAAGTTAACTTGGTCGGCTCGAATACAGGATCGCTTTCAAGAGGATTTTTGTTTTTTTTAATTTACTCTACAAGAGCTTTACACAATCTTTTTATTTCTGTTGAATATATTTAATCAAATGCAAAATTATTAAATTTGGTTAATCCAATAATAAGATTCTTTATAGTTAGTGTTAAATTATGATGAATGAGGAAGACTATCATTAGGATTGATTCTGATATTGCATATTCAAATTGTAAATGATCTAATTATATTTAAATTAAATGAATGTAGAATTTTTATGTTACTGTGTTAAATTTTTGTACTTTCTTTTAACAAATCTGAATTGCGAACAGACGTTGCCTTAATTAAAGTGATTTATAGCTATTAAATATGTCATATAATTTGCAAAATCACAAACGGAAATGAAGCTTACAGAGAAAATTAGTGAAGAAAGAATTAAATTTGGCATTTTCATTATATTTTGCTACAATTAAGCATATATTTACGTATCAAGAACGATGTTAAATATTTATTGTTTAGAATTATCCTTTGCCGGATCAAATGTGTTCTATAATACGCTTGGTGACGAGCAATATTTTCTGGCTGCAGACCTCGAGCATACTTCGTAGACTTCCGATTAGCTGCATATGTCTTGTTCTTATGTAGCTGCAGACTTTAAGCCTGCCAAATACCAACCAACTCCATAACTACCAGTACACTAGTTACTAAAGTAATATATGCTAATGAAATGCAAACTTGTTACATGTTTTCACTGGTCAAGTTTAATTTGAATGTTCTTTGTTACAAATATCAGCTTAATTAGGGTTATATAACTGCACAAGATGGAAAATGAGAAACTAAAGTTATGTTGCCAAAGCCTGGGCCACGTATCAGGACTTCGTGGCTATGCGTTGCTTGCGACTGCTTTAGATCTACTCAGATATTGTGTGTTTCTTATCAATATTGTTTTATAAGTCCAAGATGAGTATATAGGGTGGTCTAAAGTCAGTTAACCAAGATATATTTATTTTTAAGAATGGTTAAAATTGGTTTGGGACACTTACAAAGAAGCTGTTTCAAACTACTTAATTAATAAAGTTGATAGAGACCGTTTAATATTAAAAGTTATAAAATTGATTACAACAATTTTAGATCCGACCTGGGCTTCTGTAAATAGAGGGCTACTGATTTGCGACGAATGTTGTAGCGTGCACCGTAGTCTTGGAAGGCACATCTCTCAAGTCAAGAGTTTGAAGAAAGGAGCCTGGAGTCCCTCTCAATTGGCTGTAAGACGAATATTTTAATACATTTCTTATCTTACTCATTAGTTATCATATTAAATATTTCTGCGTCGTCGATGCAGATGGTTCACACACTGTATAGTAGCGGTGCCAATTCTATATGGGAATACACACTCCTCGATCCCGCTAACGTTAAGAGCGGGAGACGTAAACCTAATCCCAAAGATCCCGTACAGTAAGTTACATAAATAATTATTTTTCGATGTAGTCGATACTTAATAATTCTTTGTTTTCAGTCCTTTAAAAGCTGATTTCATCCGTGCCAAGTATCAAAATATGGCTTTTGTATATAGACCGAGTAGAGACGAAAGTCCCCAGTTAGACGATATAAATAAGGTTATTTCGCTTGTAGTTCACTCAGATTTATTAACATCTTTAATGTTATAACTTTAACTTTGATTTTTGATTTATTAAAGCAACTACATTCGAGTGTAAGGACACCAAATGTCGAAACCACGTTAAGGTTATTATCATTAGGTGCTAATCCCAATTATAAGCATCCGGTAAGTATAGAAACGAACTTTTGTAGTGTTAATTACATACTAAGATAATTTAATTCATTGTAATCGAGTAAATAATACATTTAATTATATTTAAAATAGGACAAAAAAAATTCTCCACTTCACATGGCGGCTAAGTGCGGACAGTCTTCCCAAATTGAATTACTGATAGTTTACGGTGCTGATGCCGCCGCTACTGACGAAGATGGCAAAACGCCTGTCGACTATGCTAGGTATTCTTTAATCTGTAAATCATTTTATAATAATTTAATGTTTGTGTAATTTTTTTAAAAAATGAATGTTTTAGAGATGCCGGCCATCATGATTTGGCCAATAAGTTAGTCGAATTTCAGTTTGAATTAACGGACAGGCTGGCTTACTATCTTTGCGGTCGGAAACCAGGTACGTTTTCCTTTAAGTTAGACGTACTTTAGATTGGAAGTTGCGTTTCTGTTAGCTATCGAATGCTACATCGGTCAATTATATAATTACATGTAGTTTTAAGACATACTTTCTTAATAAAATAAGTCCGCAATACTCTGTCAAAACAGTAGATATACGAACCTAAGGTACCTCTGTTCATTACATTATTTTTATTTATAAAATATTTTCATAGATCATCAGTTTGGTCAACATTTTATTATTCCTGAAATGGCCGACAGGTTAGAGAATTTGTTATTAAATGCCCTGTTTATTTTATTTTGTTTTGAAGTTAAAATAATAATATTTTATATACAGTTTAGACTTATCCGAATTAGCGCACGCAGCTAAAAAGAAATTACAAGCGGTAAGTTTTGTAAAATTATTTCATTTCTCAATAAATAAATAAATAAATAATCGTACCTGTCTGAATTCAGTTTGCATTTTGTCGACTCATTTAGAAGTTCGGCAAATTAATACAGGGTCTTGCAGAAAGAATGCTACTATTTTAAATTATTGTATTTATTTTAATTATTATCCAAGAATGTCATAGAATACATTAAAACATTGGAGAAACTGTCCAAGTTTCACATTTGCCCATACAATTTCTCAACATGTGCCTCATGTCACATGGCACACGTCTGACTGACACTCAAATTCTTCCTAAACTCACACAGCATATTCTTCATTGTTCCTCCCGCAGAACTCACAATTCTTTGGCTCCTGCAGATTACTTGTGTCATAAAATGACGAGCGATTCCAACTTTGCAAACTGCAGGATGCAAAATGCCTTCTCTGTTACAGAGTTACCATTTCCATTTATGGAGCTAGAGATAGTAGACGATGATACGTTCGAATGAGACGAGAGAAAACTTGGAACGGTTACTCTATTAATTGGTGTATAATAATTAACATAATTACAGTAATTTAAAATGATAGCATTCTTTTTGATCCTGCATTTTAATTAAATACTGAAACCACAAAATAACTGCATAAGTTAATTTACATAGGAATTTTCTTTAGCTTCTATTAGGAATCAGAAATAAAACCTTTTTATTTAATACTTTCAAGAAGAATTCTTGTCCTTAGAATCTTTTAAGCTGCAGTTGCATTTTGCAATTTTCAACCGCAACGGCTATTCCCATCAACCATCAAACTCCAAATACCACACGAATACAATGGCAGCTAAAAACAAAAAGTTTATTAGTCTCGCACCGATTGCAAGCCAACTGCCAACAAACAAATGTCTTCAAGTCTGTCTCATCATGATTATTTGAATGGCTGTCAATTGAACACAGAGTTGGAATCGTTATTAATAGAATTGATTTATAATCATTGACTACCAATGGAATTTTTTCATTAAAATTTAAGCTTTTTCTTTGTCAAAAAATGTAAAGGATGATTCTGTTTGGTTCATTTCTTGTGTGACTGCCAATCTACATAAGAAACCGGTTGCCGTTGCAGTTGCTTGTTGGCCGAAAATTACAAAATGTGACCGTAGCTTTACACTTAATATAATACTTCTTAACAATTTTCAGTTTTAAAATTTGAACTCCTACAAGAAAAAGAGAGAATTACTATTTAAAGTTTTATATTTAGCTTAATATGTTATTTATTTATTAACAAGTCGGCTGTTTATTTTTTTTTTTATAAAGTCATTTTATATGAATTTTAATGACAATTAAAAATTTGCAGTTACCAAATAACCTTTTTGAAGAGTTAGCAAAAGACGTTTATGACGAAGTTGACAGAAGAGAAACAGATGCAAGTAAGAAATAATTTTTAATTGTCATTGAATTAGTAAATCTTGTTTAATATAATCTATAGATATAATTATATAAGATACAAAAAAACTTATTTAAGTATAAGTTTTTTAGTTACAAAAGTGGCCATATCCATTTGGGAAAATTGAAGAACATAATTTGTTCTGAACTGATACAAATTTCACAATATTTAAAATAGAATTAATATTTGATGTGTGAGCTGTGCATGGAATCTGAAACGAATGGGGAAAATGAACAAGAATGTATTAACACTAATACTAATGAATTATCTCCACAAAAAGCGTTCAATGTGTCTTCTTGCCGAGGACAACTGCCCACTTTGAGGCTTGTCGAGGACTCATCCCATTTCCCAGAATTTCTGATGTAGCGTCTCTGCCGTGCCATTTGTTATTGGTGACTTTTACAGGTGTCTCTAATTTGGCTACTGTTCCCTCTTTGTGTTTGTTCTTGGCAACAAAGGAGAATTCTTTTTTGTGGCCAAGGACAAACACAAAGAGAAACAGTAGCCAAATTATATAAGATTCATTATCTGTTGGTTCAAGATTTGCACATTTTTGGAGGTGGCCACTTCTGAAACTATTGAATTCTTACAGAGAAAGTTAATTATTAAATTTTTATTTTATTTTTACAGTTTGGCTTTCGACACAGAATCAAAGTGCATTAGTAACCGACAGGCAAACAGTTCCTTTCCTTCCAGTCAATCCCGAATTTTCTTCTACAAGAAACCAAGTAAAACGATTTACAATAATAGCAAATATATTAATTTAATTATTTAAATTTAGTAAATATTTATGTTTTAATAACTGTAGGGTCGACAAAAATTGGCAAGGTTCAACGCGAGAGAATTTGCAACATTAATTATAGATATACTAAGTGAAGTTAAACGTCGACAGCAGGGTTTACCTTCGACTAGCAACTATAATCCCAAGGAAAAAAGTAAATTTAAAAGAATAATTTTCAAAATTATCAGTTCTCTGAGTTAATTTCATATAATATCTTAATTAAAGCTTTAAAGAATTGATACTTTATAAGAGTTTATCATACTAAACTTACAAATATATACACGCTTGTGTTGTATGGGATACCAAATTTATACTAGCATTACTTGAAATAGATCTTAGATTCATTTTGTTTTACTATTGTAAGTTTGGTGGTTTTATCCACTTGGTTCATCAATGGCCAAATGAATAAAACCACCGATTGTTGGTAGTCAGTTGGGGGTCTGCACTTTGCCACTGGGCTGGTCACATAGAATATTTTGGATTTTCTTCACATGTCTAACACCTAAATAGGGGCTGTTTCTCTTAGAAAGTTCTCTCAAACCCTTGGCAATTGTCCAAGTGTTGTATTTCCATATCCTATCAAATCAAACCAAACTGCTATAAGTTTCAGTAAACTAACAATTTACCTTTATATAGTAGATGTGGGATGAGATGATATCCTGAAAATAAATATTTTTAATTCTTTAATACTTTATGTACTAATTATTTTCTAGAGTTTTATGTACCGTATAATTTGAATTGTAAATTAATGTTCTTACTTAAGATGTAGAGCAAAGAGGAAGGGAGAGAAATGCAAAGAAAGACAATGGGGATACAAAAGGAAACGTAAGTGACGATGAACCGTTATACGATAGTGTAGCTTCAGACGAAGAAATTGCAGACGAAAAGGTTTCGGCAGAAACTAAAGAGAAAAACGGAAATGATCGGTCAGAAGTAAGTATGTTGCAGGTAAAGATTATTTTATTTCTTCTAACTCTTTTAATATTTTAAGTGTAAATATACAGCCGAATCTTTTTAATTTGAATAAAATAGTTTCAATTTTCAAAAATTCGTATAAATCATTTTTGAAAATTTGACTGAGTTTTCTGTGCATTTCTAGTGTTTGGTAGTATTTTTTTATTCTTTGGTTTTATCATATTTTTTATTTGTTTTCTTTTTTCACTCCTTTAACATTGAGTTTTTAAGCTTGTCTTTAGTTTATGTTTCATATTTAGACATTATAAAATCATCATAGCTAAACACAGCACCACTGTCTTGGTGCAAATGTCACTAAAACTTGAGACAATTTTATTTGTGTCTGGGAGTTTTCATAACATACATTCTATAAATTAGTTGACTGCATGTTTCCTGTTTGAATTTGACTTTTGGAAATGTGAGACATAATACTTTTGAATTATTGAAATTTTTCTAAAAACTGAGAATTAATTGTATTTAATTAAAATGTCATTAAATTTTCGAATAGCTAGGGTTATGTAGCAAGGGATCTTTCACACAAACAAAGCTTCAACCTCTTCCGATCTTTCTTCGTAGTCTTCTAGAAGGACAAAATGTATTCTTTTAACACCAATTTAAATACAAATTTTGAGGGGAATAGAGGATTTCAATTAGTCAATAATTCAAATTATACGATTAATAAACATATACAAGAAATTTAAAAATAGTTAAATACATTATCGCAAAACATAAATGTGCCAAGTAATCTATCTGGAAAGAATTTTTACATCCTCGTTGAAGTATTATATGCTTCACTAACAATAATAGAATACAGTGATACCTCAATTTTTGTTGATAATCCATCCGAAAACAATCGGCGAAATCCAAAATCGACGAAAACCGAGGCAATTATTTCCATATGAATCAATGTAAATCTAATTAATTCGTTCTAGACACTCCAAAATACACACTAAAAACACATTTTATAGAGAATAAATATAGTGTTTAATACTAAAAACAATAAGAAATTAATATAAAAGGCTGTTGGCTCTGAAACTTTCTTTGGTCCCATGATGGAGCTAAAAGGAAAGGAAAGCAATGGAATTGTTTGACTAGATGGTGGGGTAATGCTCACTCAACAAGAAACAATGCCATACTGAGCAGGAAACCACATGGGTTGCCCTTTGTTTTCGCAAAATTACCAGTGAGGTCATGTGGGCACACCGACAAAATCAGAGGCAATCGACTAAAGCCAAGAAAAATTTTTGCAGAAAAAAATTGACGAAAACCGAAACAGACGATAACCAAAGTCAGTGAAAACCAAGGTATTACTGTATTTAGTAATTTATTTTTTTAACATTTTATAAACTCATTTTCTTGCAGTAATAGGTGACATTATATTTAGTAACTTTATTCTAATAGAAGTTTCCTTAATGGTTTAAAATTGTTTGATAAAATATTTTCATTTGATACAATTGAATATATCCTGTTTCTACTTTTTACATCCTCAGTCAGTGATAAATATGTTTTATTGTTAGTAATTTTTTAAAGATTAACACGAAAAAATTTTTTAAAAATTAAAATTTTCGTAATTTTTCTAAATTTTGTAAATGGTTAATATTTACAAACAAAAGAGAATTATTGCTGTTTAACTAAAAATAATTTCTATAAATTCAGATCATAATTACTAAAGATTCCTGGAACTGTTTGAAAACTTAATTGTTTGCGCACGTAAAAATACGATGAAAAATGTACATTACCATTTTCTCCATAACTTTCTGTGCTCTGTTGTATTGGGTATGGAGTTAATGCACTAGTAGAGCATTTACTCCAGTGTTTTTCAATCTTTTTTTTTATCTCATGACACACTTAAACCTATAATTAAATTGAAAAAAAAAATCACATGATTTAAAGTTGTGCTCGTAAACATTCTATCGCCATATTACTTACCATTTAACCTAATTTTTTTTGTCTACATTAAATAAAACAGTATTTTTGTTACTTAAAATAGCAGCAGGTTACAACAATACTTATTTAAATTAAAAGTTTGCATTTAAAAGTGACACGATAATTGCCTTTAGATGTTCAAATGAAATAACCTGGTGTTATGCACACACACATATATATATATATATTTTTTTTTTACTATATTATGTATACATTTATTTATTATAACAATGAAAAACTCATATAATCAATTTAAAGAGGTTTTAATCAGGTTTTAATCCTGACCAAAATTTTTGGGCATGATGAAAGTTATAATAAGAATAATAGGCCTATCTCTAGCACTAAACAATAGGCGGAAATGTTATTTGGTGTGAATAAAAAAGTATGGACTATTATAAAGCCCATTATATTGAATATCTACACACAAAATATATGAAATATAATGAAAAAGTATTAAAAATTTATGATGATAATTCAATTTTTCTGGGCCCTTGACACTGGGGGCCCAGGACTTAAGTCGTATTAGTCCCTATGTAGATTCGCCCCTGTACACAATACATGTATGCTAATTAGGTACCGCAAGCTTTTGATACATCTGGCTGTGTTAAATGCTTCGAATGATGTCATGCGCGTGCACTTGCTTGTGTGCGGAAAACCTCCACACGAGCAAGCGATCGAGTTCCCGAAAGCATGGTATTGACTTAAAATGGCTAGCCGCTAGCTGCCAATGTAAAAGGAAACACGAATGATAAAAGAGTTTACACGTTAGAATAAATTATTATTGGCATATTTGTTCTGATATAAAAAAATATATTGACAGTCAAAACTTTCTCGTAAGTATGCGGCACATGCTAAGCAAGCCCAGAGAATTCACCCCGGTTTTAATTTTGACATGTATACTTATTGTTCTTTGGGTTTCTTTTGAAAATAATTTATTTAATAACCTTCAAAAATGTTCATGGTACACCGGTTGAAAATCACCGATTTACTCCATACCCATTGTGGGGTTGACCAGATCCACGTAGGGGGCTTCCAGGTGGCGAGGGACGGGGCACAACATATCCAGGACAGGCCAATCTTAAAAAATTCCTTGGGAGTTGTCTGGATTCGATTCTGGATTCTCCAGTGTGGTTGACTCATTCACTCGCCAACACGAAAGTGGAAACAGACTTCTCTGAGTAAAACCAAATCATATTGGGCATTGAATATGGTAATAGATTAGACTGAAATATCAAGAAAGTAAAATATTTTATTGCCATAAGACACCAAATTTAACTCTTTGTCTATAGAAGAAAATGGCTTTTTAAGTGTCATCTAAGCGTTCGATGTATGCTAGCAGTTTTCAATAAGGTCGAGCTAAGGACCTTAGGCATCTGATCTGGGCCTCTTGTGTTGTTTTTTTTTATCTAAACAACAATTGGTGTGTCAGTTTAAGTGACAATAATGCTAACAAACTTCGAGAAAGGACACATTTTACTATACTTATCATCTCGGCACGGTGACACGATGCAGGATGGCCTGGAATTTGCAGTAATTGTTTGCTTATTATTGAAATTAACTTGGCAGATAAGATGTCTTTGTAACATTTTTCATTCACAAATTCATTTATAGTGTAGTCTGTCGATACATTTACTGGCTATCCATTCTCAAATCATTTGACTAACTGGAAGCTTTACTGTCTGCATCGAGCAAACTTATTATAGGCTATAGCTTTTGTAAACTTAACATAGGGAGGGTTTGCCATCAGATTTGTGCAAGTAAAATTTGAATTTGTCTGAAAACATTAAAGAATTCCACACATTCACACTCCAGTCCACATGCTGTTTAGTCCATATGACCCACCGTTTGAACATTTTGCTCATTGATAGTGACTTTTTATGTGGATAACATGGTTTTATACTTGTCTACTGTGTACCCACTTTATTCTTGGGTTGGAAGTATTAGCAGTACATTCTCACAGGCTGAGATTCTTTGTCATCCTATCCTGACATTGTACACTTGTGCATTCACTTCCCGATATGGCTTTTCTTAAATGTTGCCACCTTTGTAACAAGTGTACAATAGTCAATTGATGCTTCAACACTTCCAACAACCTTTCCAGCTCCAGTGATATTTGTTTACACCTCAGCAAACGTTTTCAACCTCATCGAGGTCTTCATCAGGCTACTTTACTTAGGAATTCGATCGCGTTTGGAACGGAACGTATACGATTCAAAATTTATAAACCGATTAAGAATACTCATGGAACGTTACGCACACGCTAAAATGACTGTAAAGCACGTGTGATATCAAGTTTGGGTAACGGTAGAAGCAGACGCATTAGACGCACTCATTAATGGGGACGAGTTCCCTCATAACAAAACTTCCACGCACTAGATATACCGATTGCATCCCTGGAGTTGATGCACGTGCCACGTAATCCTGCCTTGTATATTTCTAAAGTTTCCATCATTCTCAGTTGATCAGTGCGATGTGAGAGCCTGATCATGTGGGCATTTTGTATGTCTACCGTGATTCCCGGTTCAGTGGCAACCGTTGAGAGGGCGGTGGCATCCGTTCCAAACGCGATTGAATTCCTAAGTAAAGTAGTCTGATGAAGACCTCGATGAGGTTGAAAACGTTTGCTGAGGTGTAAACAAATATCACTGGAACTGGAAAGGTTGTTGGAAGTGTTGAAGTATAACTCCTCTAGTGTTGGAAGACGTTTGGTTCTTATAGTCAATAGATGTTTAATAGCCCAGACACAGCATTATCAAGAGGCTAAACCAGTAATCTTAATTTTTTTTTGTAATGCTACCATTTGTTTCATATTTAGTTATATTTAAGAATTGTATACTAATTTCAGAGCGTAACATCTTCCGATCTCTCAGATGGCCCGATAACATTAGAGGAGTATCTAGTTGTGAAAAAGCAGTTGGCGACTTCGGAAGCGCATGTACATCATCTCATGCAAAACAACAAAGATATGAAACAAGAGATATCGCTGTTACAGAATATGGTAAGTCTGAAGTTCAGTTTTTTTTTTTTTTTTTTTTATTGTGTCCATAGAATTTGTTGAATTCAAATAATTCACAGAGCCAAAATCTATTGTTCTGTTAAGATCCGTAATGTTTCTGCCTTCAATAGTAATATGTTATTAGTTAAAATTATTCTGTTTATATGCTTAGAAACTTCCCACATAGGAAACATTTTCAGTGAAATTATTTTTAAGTGTGGAACCATTTATGTACTACATTTATCCGTAATTTTATATTTATCGCTCTTCTTGCAAGACAATTATTGTCTAATTTGTTAAAAATATTGCTCCATTTTAAAGTTTCTATTGTGGTGTGGTTATATAACGTAGGAAAATTATTTTTATGTCAGAGTACACTACTTTTTATTTATTTTGGATTTTGCGAACATATAAGTTTAACTTTTGATATAAAATATATCAAAATATTCATTATTTATTGAGAATAATATAAAATTAGTGGATTGGATTAATGGGGTAGGCGAGGGCAATGCTCCCGTGTCTCCGAGAGGACATTTTATGGGAAATCCAGGCTGTAGTTTGGTGTTAGAAGTGTCGAGAAAATCTGAAAAACTTTATGCAGTTGGTCTTTTTGCAAGGCATAAACCTGCAAATGACTATTGACGTTTGATCGTCTATCCACTCTGTCATTCGTTGGCACAACAATTAGCGAATTGGCAACAGTTAATGAGAGTTATTAATCTCTTGTCAGTTTACTGCATTTTGTGTCAACAACTTGCAGAAATTTGTTTTGTCCTTTCCTGTTGCATCACCAATCTTCTCTCTTTTTTGTCTTCTATTGCTCAAATGTTGTAGCTTTATCTCCACGGCAACTTTTGGAAGTCTTTCATTTTGTATTCTCTTTACTTGTTCATGTGATATCAATTGTTTTTTTTTTTTATTTCTTTATATCCTCTAATGTAATTTCATTCATACTATTTTTTAATATTAATTGCTTCTAATTAAATTTATATCTTATTGCAATTTATTATCAAATTTCTCATATAAAAAACTAAAGAAGTTGACTAGATTTTAAACTATAAATTAAATTAGGTAAATCTTACTTAAAATGCATGATTTTGAATGGATTTTTATTCCACTTTGACATGTGAGTTACTTGAATTCAAGTACTAAAATTGGAATTAATATGATTAATCTGATATAAAATATGAAATTATAGTAATAATAATGAATTAATTATGTTGTAGATACAAAAACTAATGCAAGAAAATTCACATTTGAGATCATTTGTTCAATATGGCAGTTTCGACACTCACCAATCCAACTTGCCAAACGGATACGAAGTTCAAACGGGGCATTCACACCCGGCGAGTAACCCGCCCACCGCCGCAAATGAAGTCGTGTCGGTCAGATCGCCTCGGGGTTCTCCCCGGTCAAGTCAGAGACCCCAGTCTATGTATGAACCGAGAGAAAGACAACAGTTTCAACACCACTTGTGGAATGCCAATTTTTCATACAACAGTTCGATTTCAGGAAGCAACATTCCTCGAGATGATAGCGGAATTGTGAGTATAATTAAAGCATCGTTTAATTAATCGAAGTTGATAATTAATGGAATTTTATTTTCAAGGGCCACATACATTCTAGTCATTCGTCGAGAAATAGCGGTGATTACGATAATACAATACCTCCTATTAATAGTAACAGGTAAGAAGAAAAAAAATACTTAAAATTGGTTTAATCTGTACTGAAATCTCAAATAAAACTTTCATTTTAATTTTAGTCCGTGTCTCCAAAGTCGAAGTGGATCTCTCAGTCCTCCGTTTGAGATTTCGAACGCCATGACTCATTACGACTCGTTATTACAACAAAAAGTGACGGAAAAATTACCAACGCAAGATGAAGTCATTCGTAAAACCGAACAGATTACAAAGAAAATACAAGAATTATTGATTTCTGCTCAAGAGGGAAAGCAAGAAAGGTACAAGTTAATACACAGGAAGATAAATTATAATAGTTTATCTTATATTGAAATAATTTCTTTTAGTTTCATTCCGTGTTCGGAGAAAGTTTACCGGGCGGTGTTGGAAATGGCAAGCATTTTCCCTCAGGTAAATATTTAAGAACTTTATATACAGTGAAACCTCCATTAACGGACACTCCCAAATAGCAGACAACGTTATTTAATGGATATTTTTACAATTCCCAAGACCCTTCAAATAGGACATCTGTTATATTTGCCTCTAAATAGCAGACACTATAAATAACGGATGCTGTCGTCCATAACCAACCTTACGAAAACACAAAGTTTCGCCTTCAGTATTCTGAAATAATTAATTATGTATGAAATATTTTAAAACTAAAACAGAGAATGGGTTCAAATACTCTTTCAAGAGACAAATTTTGACCTTAGGCATCGAATAAAGACTGGCTAAAAATAGGAGTAGGGGAAGAAGGCAGGTTGTAAAAACAGAACAATATTCATTAACTGTTAGAGAGGACTAATCTGATTAAGTTGTCTATCACCATTTATCGTCATACATATTAATGTTATTAAACTTATGTTTTATTAATAAGAAGCTAAAAATTAGCAATTTTTTCTGGANCGCTCCCTAGTGGGCGTTTTAGCAGTATTACAAATTCCTATGAGGCATGTTTAAAGCAGCGGCAGCTTTACGTTCCTCCACAGTGGCGTATTTCTTTGGTCGTGCCTACAGTGGCTAGCCACTGTAGTCGTGCCATGAAAGGTTTCTATTATTATATTAAAAAATTAGCTTAACTATTTCAAACCTTATCGTTTTATCGTAGCGGTTCAAATCTATCCGGTTTTTCGTTATTCGCCTCCTAGTGAACATTACAGGCATTCCGTGACAATAATAAATTCCTATTACAAATATAATGAATTATTTATATTGTTATATTGACCAAATAATAATTTATTGGCCAAATGAATAATAATAATTTATATTGTTCATTTAAATAATAATTAAAATTGTTAATTTAATTTGAATGTTTTAAATATGACACACGATAGGGGCGCCTCTAGTGTCCGTTATCAAACGGTTACGGGACAGACGGACAGTTGAATGGGTTATATATATAGATAAACTTTTAATGTGCAGTTTTTAACACTTAACGATTAACTTCAAAGTTGTGCATAAATTACGTAACGCAGATATGAGTGAGTGGGTATGCTGTGATCGTCGATTAGGGATTGCATTGCCGATAAACGGTTTACTGCTTCACCGGCAATCAGATAAAAAACCCTGTATTGGTAAATATACTAGTAATTTGATATTTTTACTTTAAATTCGGTAAAAAAATAAGTACACATGTAATAATATTTTGCAGCCAAATATTTATTTGTATAATCAAACTTAGATTATCTGAAAAGTTTTCTGTTTTCGAAAACAATCGGCGAAATCCGAAACTAACGAAAACCGAGGCAATTATTTTTATATAGATCAATGTAAATCTAATTAATTTGTTCTAGACACTAGACACTAAAATTATTTCTAAGCAACAATGAATAATTTTTTAATATAATAATGAAAGAAAAGAACAAAAATTTCGAGTAAGAAATTGAAAATTCTGCAAAAAAATCTTGAGATTAAAACAATTTAAGAACGAAAGTCTACATATTCTGCAGAATTTTGCACAAGTACTTAATTAAAACATTACAAATTATGATCAGTATTGTTAGAATACACAATTAAGAAAATTGTAAACTGTTATTACAATTTTCACCTGTGTCCGAGCCAGACTCGGGCGAATATCAAATAATAATTAATTCACTTTTTATGCACAGATTTTACTCAGGTAAAATTTATTTGTCCTTTAACGATCGTTGTCTATGACCACAACAAATTTCGTAATTCTATACGAATTATAAGTTTTTGATTGGAGCCGTTTTTCCGGTCCCCTTTTATATAAATAGTACAAATGACCAAAAATTTTTAGTTGTATTTGAGTATTTGTAATAACTAGTACAAACCTTGCTAGAACCCCGACTTTCCCTAAGACCTTTATGTAAATATCCCGCAAAAGTTGACCAACGGCTGTTCTCAAGATCAAACAATTTTAAACACCGTAGACTGCAGCTGTCTCGTTGCAGTTTGTGTAAGACGAAAGAAAAATATAAATAAAGTATCCCTGAAGCTATATGTAATAACTAGATGCATTTATTTTAAATCATTTTTTTATTTTTTTAATAGCTTTACTATAAAAACACGTTTTGGGGAGATTTTTTCGCGGCAAAATTATAATTTTTTCTAATATCAGATTTGGTTTAACTTTCACAAAAATATTTATTATCAAAAAATAAAAAAATATATGCTTTTCTGAGCGAAATTTGAAAAAAACAAGCGTTAAGGAGTTTTAAATGTATTAAATGTTATCCTATTTACAAGGAATAAAAGTAAATTTTAACTTAAAATTAAAAATTATCGAAAAACCCAGATAATGAGATATTTTTGTGAAAAAACCTATCAACCCAGATTACAATAAAAAAATCCAAATATGAGTAGAAAAACTCAGGCGTAAGAGCCCTTCCCACACCATATCGATGACGGCACGATATTTCAAGACACTGGAAAGGCACTTTCTTTGCTTGGTTCATTTCCCGTTGGATGAAATTAGTCAAACGAAATAAAAACCATCAATAAGTTAAGGGATTGCCTATCACTATAACCTATTCAACTATGCCCAAGAACAACTAATGTCAACTGCTTCCAAGAATATACTGTTTTTTCGCCACTAGATATTCGCCACTAGATGGCGCCACTAGACGGTGCCACCAACTGTCTAAATGTTAATGCCAGTGCTCATCGCTTAGAAGCTCAAGCCTAAACAGCAGCTCAATATCAACCAACCTATGTAATTTCAGGGGAGAATTTGAAATATTTATGGAAGAAGCGATATATTTTTTAAACAATTCATAGGAGAAAGATATTTCCGATAAGATATTGTAGAGAGCTTGAAGATTTGAGAAGTGCGTTTATAAATAAATGGTTTCTAGTTTCAAAACACCGGTGTTACTCATTGCATTGGGGAAGGCAGGTTCGGAACGACTGCTAGACAAAGCAGAAATTTCTCCACTCCATACCATTTGTGGGGTGTGGGCTGACTTCAACCTCAGAGCTTTGCAGGCTTTGGCAGCACGTCTTACGGCGATGCGGGCCTCGGCGGCACCTCTGACAACGTTGCGGCCCACATCTCACTACAGAGTTTGATCATTGCACTCGGATCCAAGTGCAATGGTCGAACTCTGGGGTTTATGGAGTGTCTTCTTTCTGTACATATGGGGTTTGTACATATCGCGCTAGCTCCTTTGTAAATATGGGGTTTGTACATATCGCGTTAACCCCTTCCTTTCAAATCCAAAATTAGAACAACTTCCAGATCGGTATTTAACGGATACAGCTGCTTTTATAATCCGACAGGTATGGGACCAAAGGGGTGTCGGATTACCAAAAGTGGCCGGATTACCGAAAGTGATTACATATTTGGCATTGTTTTGCTAGCAGTAGCCTACTATATTCTTTACTCCAACTGTTCGAACAGAACTGCTAACGGAAAACACACGAAATGTGTGTCATCGTGTAAGAATTGGGTGGGGAGATTNTCGTTGGCACAACAATTAGCGAATTGGCAACAGTTAATGAGAGTTATTAATCTCTTGTCAGTTTACTGCATTTTGTGTCAACAACTTGCAGAAATTTGTTTTGTCCTTTCCTGTTGCATCACCAATCTTCTCTCTTTTTTGTCTTCTATTGCTCAAATGTTGTAGCTTTATCTCCACGGCAACTTTTGGAAGTCTTTCATTTTGTATTCTCTTTACTTGTTCATGTGATATCAATTGTTTTTTTTTTTATTTCTTTATATCCTCTAATGTAATTTCATTCATACTATTTTTTAATATTAATTGCTTCTAATTAAATTTATATCTTATTGCAATTTATTATCAAATTTCTCATATAAAAAACTAAAGAAGTTGACTAGATTTTAAACTATAAATTAAATTAGGTAAATCTTACTTAAAATGCATGATTTTGAATGGATTTTTATTCCACTTTGACATGTGAGTTACTTGAATTCAAGTACTAAAATTGGAATTAATATGATTAATCTGATATAAAATATGAAATTATAGTAATAATAATGAATTAATTATGTTGTAGATACAAAAACTAATGCAAGAAAATTCACATTTGAGATCATTTGTTCAATATGGCAGTTTCGACACTCACCAATCCAACTTGCCAAACGGATACGAAGTTCAAACGGGGCATTCACACCCGGCGAGTAACCCGCCCACCGCCGCAAATGAAGTCGTGTCGGTCAGATCGCCTCGGGGTTCTCCCCGGTCAAGTCAGAGACCCCAGTCTATGTATGAACCGAGAGAAAGACAACAGTTTCAACACCACTTGTGGAATGCCAATTTTTCATACAACAGTTCGATTTCAGGAAGCAACATTCCTCGAGATGATAGCGGAATTGTGAGTATAATTAAAGCATCGTTTAATTAATCGAAGTTGATAATTAATGGAATTTTATTTTCAAGGGCCACATACATTCTAGTCATTCGTCGAGAAATAGCGGTGATTACGATAATACAATACCTCCTATTAATAGTAACAGGTAAGAAGAAAAAAAATACTTAAAATTGGTTTAATCTGTACTGAAATCTCAAATAAAACTTTCATTTTAATTTTAGTCCGTGTCTCCAAAGTCGAAGTGGATCTCTCAGTCCTCCGTTTGAGATTTCGAACGCCATGACTCATTACGACTCGTTATTACAACAAAAAGTGACGGAAAAATTACCAACGCAAGATGAAGTCATTCGTAAAACCGAACAGATTACAAAGAAAATACAAGAATTATTGATTTCTGCTCAAGAGGGAAAGCAAGAAAGGTACAAGTTAATACACAGGAAGATAAATTATAATAGTTTATCTTATATTGAAATAATTTCTTTTAGTTTCATTCCGTGTTCGGAGAAAGTTTACCGGGCGGTGTTGGAAATGGCAAGCATTTTCCCTCAGGTAAATATTTAAGAACTTTATATACAGTGAAACCTCCATTAACGGACACTCCCAAATAGCAGACAACGTTATTTAATGGATATTTTTACAATTCCCAAGACCCTTCAAATAGGACATCTGTTATATTTGCCTCTAAATAGCAGACACTATAAATAACGGATGCTGTCGTCCATAACCAACCTTACGAAAACACAAAGTTTCGCCTTCAGTATTCTGAAATAATTAATTATGTATGAAATATTTTAAAACTAAAACAGAGAATGGGTTCAAATACTCTTTCAAGAGACAAATTTTGACCTTAGGCATCGAATAAAGACTGGCTAAAAATAGGAGTAGGGGAAGAAGGCAGGTTGTAAAAACAGAACAATATTCATTAACTGTTAGAGAGGACTAATCTGATTAAGTTGTCTATCACCATTTATCGTCATACATATTAATGTTATTAAACTTATGTTTTATTAATAAGAAGCTAAAAATTAGCAATTTTTTCTGGATATAATTGGTCATCACTTTTATAACCACTTAAAAGAGATGTTTTGAACAAATAAACCGAAATGTTAAGTCCTTCAAATCCAATGCTCACCTGAGTATAAGATTTACTCAGAAGACAATTAATTCTCAGATATTTTATTTAAATGCATTTCAAATTGGAATTCTCACTGATCCGTTTCAGTAAAGTACAGTCTGTGGCAAAACCTACATTGATATTTTGGACTCTTTGAAATCAATCACAGTAAAGTAATTAATAAAGTACTGTGTGTGTGTGTTATCCGATTTGTATATATAACCGATCACCGTGAAAGTGTTTGTTATCCAATTTGTTTGCAGTCCGAACTGTGTTCATTAACTGATCACCCACTGTATATATATATACAGTGGGTGATCGGTTAATGAACACCTTCATGAAAGATTTTTATGTTTGGACAACGAACACCTCACAGAACAAACACAAGAAGTGATATAAAATAATGAATACTGATTAGTGTTCCCTTGTCTTCAGGCAACAATTTGAAACTTTTTGGAGTGCAGGAAATGTTGACATTTACACTCAACCCAGTATATACTGTTCAGATAGTATTCCTTCAAACTTTGAAACTCTCTCTTGTAATTCCAGTCTTTTATTTGTTCTGACAGAAACAATTCTTTTATAGTATTTGTGAGACTGTTGAGCGGGCATTCATTAAATTTTGCATAGGTTTTTATTTTCAAAAGGTGAGAGTATAATAGCAAAGGTAGAGAGTGGGCAGAAGATGTCTGATGTTGCTGGGTAGTATGGCTTGATCAGATCGACAGTAGGCCACAGTTGAATCTTATCTAAGAAAGATATAGATAGAATATTCAAGAAAACTCAAGCAGTTAAAGGAGTAACAAAAATCACATCTGAGAAATGAAGAACATTGAAGAGCTCATAATGGAATCTGAAATGGATCTGAAGACAGAAGAACACTAAGAAACTCAGCAAGATATGTTTTCTTCTGAAAAAGAGGATTAATGCCGACATCTGCTATTAAAGACCTTTTGAAGAAGTGGGAGGATGTTAGAACAATGATCTTAGAATGGCATTCAAACCAGGTTGAGGTTAATAGGCTTGGGGATCTCTACAATTATGATGCTATTAATTACTTCTGAAAAATCCTAAAGAAGAGAGAAAAGCAATCGACATTAGATTCTTTAACCCCCCACAAATGGAGAAAACATGATTAATAAAAATGCAAGACTGTGTATATACGTATTTTTATTATTACATATAAATAATGTAATAATAAACTGTGTTTATTTACATATAATACATATAAACTGTGTTTATTTACACAGTAAGAAAGTATATATTTTTTATTTTTTGGAGTTTCCAGAACGAATTAATCAATTTCCCATAAAAACCTATGGTAAATCGATGATCGGTTAATGAACAATTCGGATAGCAAACAAAGTCTCGGAACGAATTATGCTCGTTAACCGATCACCCACTGTAGCTCACATAATATTTAATAATTGTCATATTTCTTTGATTATAAGATGCTACAATGTGTGGCATCTCACAGCAACGTGCAACAATTATAAGATGTCATTCAGAGGACACCATATCAGTTTATAATGGAAGTGCATGATGTTTTTAATCTATGGTGGCATAAATTTATCCATAGAATTATCGGTGATGCTCAAATTGCTAAATTAAATTTACACAATATACATATTAATGCACTATGGTGCTGTTTCAAAATTAATCTTTTTGAGATCATTTAAATTGATAAACATTCTAAAATCATCATTAAGTTTCACCCTACTCAAGATATGACACACACAATCTCCTCACCCCGTCGACCCTTTAACCATCAAAATTTAATAGCATCAATCCCCCTAATACACAAACCTCGCTGCAAAATTTCAGAAATTTTCGAAAAAAGCACAGGAGTTATCAAACTTCAAAGAGAGAAATTCGGATACCGATATTATGTATATTTACACGTTTTGTTTAACTTTATTAATATCAAATTTCGATTATTTTTTCTTTTTTTCTTAGAATATAAAAGAAGAAAATATTCACGTAGCATTAAAGCAGTTAATTGGAAGTGCCTTTCGACTGCAGGCCGAGTGCAAGAGTTTGTTATGCAAGCACCATCCGCCAATAGACCACCGATTTATCACCCAGCAGGTAATACAGTGTGCCTACGACATTGCCAAAGCAGCCAAACAGCTCGTTACGCTTTTCCAGTGAAGAACCGAATCGCAGACAAAACTTTTATACGAGTTATTTTTCAAATTGCCAAAAATTTGGAATTTTACCGACTGGCCAAGAGCGGAAGCCATTCTGGATCCAACGTTCTCCGATGCGTAACGTCGACGTTATGGAACCTATTTTGCTTCCCATCGATGCGCGTTGCCCTCGTTTACATTTATTTATAAGACAAGAAAAAAAAAAAAAAGGCAAAAATTCAAATCTGCTTTAAGGAAATTTGTGTACATTATACATTTTTTTTGTTTTCGTTTTTTAGAATTTAATCGATTTAAATGAGTACTTTTTAGGAATTTTATAATTTCTATTATTATTATTATTATTATTATTATTATTTTATAATCAGTGTAGCTTTTTTGTTATCGCATTTACAAATTTGTATTTTACACAATTCTGAAAGAACTTTAGAATTCATTTCAAGGATTGTCGTCGACATTTTGTCCTTGGATAGCTTTTTTTTTTTCATTTTAATCCTTGTAATTGGGTCTGCTAGTGGACACGGAGTTTCAACGACGAGTAATTTTGGCAGAAAGTAAATTTCAAGAGGTTTTTTTGCACTCCTTAGGAATGTTGGGAGGAAAGGTTAAATATCTTTTATAAAAAGATAAATCTCCTCGAGCCTTAGTGAAAATTTTAAAAAAGTTAATAGATGTTGATTGCTTTTGTTGTTAATTATTAAATTCTATCCGTCCTAGTGCAGCTATTAATAGAGAATACACGATACATGTAATGTTTATATTGTCGTTAAGAAAGGTTATTGCACGTGTTGAGCATCAATGGACTTTTCTAAAGTTTACCACTGTTTCCGATTGTTCGAACAATACAGGAATTCGTGATAAATATTGTCAGCATCTCTTTACGACATCTCTTGCACACACAATTTTGGTATAGAATATCACTAATTCTAAGAATTACTCAATTTTAACTTTTAAAAAAAAGAAAAAAAAATCAAATTTTGGCTTTTCTAGCTGTCTAGATCGTTAATTAACACATTTTATACAGTCCGAAAAACTGTTTTTAGAACAGCAAACTCAATCACTTAACTCCCCCACCCTTCAAAGATTTAACAACTGTACAAAATTAGAATTAACTTAATGGACAATACGATTGCCCCATTGTGCATTTTGAAAGGAAGGCACATATCAAAAAGTTAAATTTGTTAGAACAAACTTATTTAGGTGCTGCCATTTCCTATATTAAGCCCGCCATCGTCGTACAGGCCAATTATTCTGGAGTCCAATTTGATCCCCGGCCCGACAATCATCTACAAACACCGTCGCGTAGCATCTAATACACAAACCAGAATAGGAATAACAATGTCTCTGTTCCTTGTCCAGAAGAAATTGCCAATTTCACGTAAGATTTCCAGCATCGAATTTTGCACAAATGCCCATTTAAGAAAATTCCATTGATGCCCGCGATAATTTTAATAGCTAATTAGGCATTAAGCCGAGTTTAAGAGTTTGTTTCTTTTGTGTAAACATTCAGTTCATTTCTCGATTCTTCGAAGATTCGATCTTAAAAAACACTAGTATGGCATCAAAACTTATAACGATCATATATTTCTCTTTATCCCTCGATAATTGTACAGATGATTTTGTGTACATAATTAATGTAATTAGATCATAAGATAGATCGACTTTATTATTATTATTATTATTATTATTGTACCATTTCTTATATTTGCAAAGTTTGCAAAGCTTTCATCTATAGAATTGTGATTCCATTCTTTCGCATTCGATAATCTGAATTTGATACCGATCAATGAAAATTGCCTTTTGCAAATTTGTATCAGGAAGAAAAACAATATTCTGACGTTTTTACCTCTTCAGGTTAGAATTTATAAAAATAAAAAAAACAGTTCTGTCAGCCGTAATGGCTGTGGGCGTAGAACGTTGAGATTTTAATAGAGAACTGATATTATATTTATTGTTAGAGATGATCGAAGTAATCGTTTTTTTCTCCACTCAAAATATACTAACGATATTTTGGTACGAAGCAGAATTGAAGAATGTTTTTAGACGTATGATGTATCACAATTCATTACCATCTTGTTAATATATCGGAATGTATTTTAATTCATTGAATAAAAATTAAATATACTGTGTTATTTATATTGGTAAGACCATTGCTGCTTCCATGCGCGTGCGCTTAAGCGAATGCAATCTTTCAACGAGCAAAGCTATAATTTGCTTTGTTTTCTCAATTAGAGTATAGAATTTGAACGTAGTAAAGGTTCTTATATGGTGTACACATGTATGACATACAGATGAATTGCTGAAATACAAATTGTGTGTACAGGATGTCTCGGAAGTCCATTCTGGTAGGGAGTAACGTGCTCTTCTATTTGAAGATTGCAGAAATCTGTCGGCAAATACTTATTGAGACTCTTTCATGGAATACCTTGCATGTTATCATTCTGATTCTTTCCCAATTTGTGCAATAATGGCAACTTTATCTTCTCTTGCAGTGTAGTTGCATCTTTCTCAATATTTTCAAGTAAAAAGAAAACATGGGATTATAAATTGAAGAACTGAAACAACTAAACTTGAATTGTTTAGGACACAAATTGAAGAACAGTAGCAAACATGTACCAAAGAAGCAAACACACTTTTTGGTTCATCGGTCTGTTAATCTTATCCATTTTTCATCATCTTTTCTATTGAGAGTGTTTTGCCATCTTCCAGATCTTCCTCTTTCATTTTCCAGCATTCATTCCACTTACTTGTGTCTTATCCTCATTATGCATGTCATCGTCTTTATTTGTTTTTCTTATGTTCTTTTCCATATCTTTTGAGTGGATAAGAGAGATGATACAGATATTAAAACACTACAAATATATGAATATTATCATCTCCTCTTCATAATAATTATAATTCAGAGATGTGACAAGAGTGCATATTTTTTAGGAATGGAAATGAGACCGAATTTGAGTCTTGGCTGGGAATTTCTCACGTGCAGTGAGTTTGACGAGTGACGAGGCTCGATGTGTTAACACATTCTGGACACGTCGAGCTCCATCCCAGAGCTTGACATGTCCAGCCATTACATTTTGAACTGTTGTAATGATTGGGCAATGATAGTAATTTGAATCAATTAAAATTCTGTAAGTATTCAATTTTGGGTTGCCCAAAGTCATTCAGACTATTACCTGTCAAGCCTGCATGAGTTCGGACAGGCATTTGTGAAAGGTTCTTTTAGTGACTGCAATGGGTAAGTTTTAAAAAATTGTCAGTAATGGGCCAGCATGATATACAATGGATTAGCAACACTGGTATAGAATAAGAAAGAAGTTCTGCATCAATTCTTTACAGAAATCACAAAGATGGGACCCTATCTGAATCCCCATTCCTTGTATATTTGTACGTACTTGAATATTGTATGTTACTCCAGAGACTGAGCAGGCCAAGAAAGTGCAACAACATGGATGGAAACAGTCCTGGTAAACCCAAGCATTACTTTTCTGGGTAATGGCTGTTTGCAACCCTGCCATGAAAGGCATTTATTAGGACACAGGATTTCCTGAATATACTGCTGTATTATCAGTTTCTTTTATACTAATACTGGGGTGACGAACTGACTCATATAAGACGGCTCCTCAGACCAGCATACCAACAGCAGAGTATGGAAAAGTGGAAAAGGCAGAGTTAGTACTCACCACTGATCTTTTACTTTCTAACACTGGTCATCCATTCCCAAACAGAACCAGAATTTGGCATTAAAGACTGTTGCCAGTTCACATTTCTTTGTTGTGACACCTTGCAAACAAAGGCAACAACAAGGGTTTGCTTAGCAGAATGTGTAACAATCCACATACACAAATTTGCCTCTGCTAGTTGCGTGCCAACGGTGCAGGAAGCAACAGGGTTATGTAGCAAGACTTCCATTTGTGTCCAGGTGGCGGACAAGGATGCCATTGCAGCTGCCCATAATTGTTCCCAACATGATCACATTCCAGTGGTGTTGTAGGGCAGTTGTCACTGGCTACCATGTGCGTGGTATCATGTATCAACTGCCCAACACCTCACGGTTGGGTCAGAATGGGTCAATTGGCAGAAAGCAGCCTTTCTGAAACATCAGATATGCATGTCTTCGATCACATCATACAGGAATGTCCGGCATTCAAAGACCTCCAAACAACAATACCGAAAATTACAGCTGTAAGTATCATTTGCTATCTTTCCTCTGTCAATCCATTGCCCATTGGCTCCATTAAAGTCTACCATAAAATCAATTGTAAAAGTGATAATTGAATTGAACTTGCATAAAGTATTATATTTTTGGACGAGACATTTTAAGTGAAAGATACTTTAAATTGTAAAGAGTGCAGTTATTGGTAAAAAGGAGAAAAACCAAAAATCGGTAACCAATTGAATGTCATAGCAGCTGCCATTGTTATAAAATCAACAGTTAAATGACGTAATCAATATGAAGATAATTATTATTAATTAGCTCTAAGGTAAAATAAGGTACGAAAGAGGGAATAAAAAATTTATTAATAGAATTATATAAAAAGGAATTACAGCATACGGTTGCCAATCTGACCTCCCGATTATCCGGCATAATCCCCGTTTCAACGAAAATAATAGTCGCACCACGTTTTCCTGTTTACTCGGGTTTTGTTTCTGTGTAAAGTATTGTATGTCGGCGCATCTTTATTGCTCTCCTGTATCCAAAAAGTACCGGTATCGAAGGGCAACGGGTCACGCCATTTATTGTTTATTTAAATATTGTAGTTCTTTAACTAAAGCACTATTTTCGGCTGTAACTGGAATTATAGGATAGATTATGACGTCCGTGTTTCGCTCGAGCGGAAAGCGTTTCTAAACTATGATGCAGCGACGTGTAGCGATAGCTGCTCGTGACGTCATTTACGCTGCGCTCTCGCTGCATAAAGAAACGCAGCCATACTTTTTCTATAATAGTGGTAGGTGCTGTAGAGATATCTGAAACATTCAATCCCTATTCCTATCCTGTCTGGACAAACAGGATAGGAATTTGTCTGATAAATTACATATATTATACATTTACTATAAAAAACGTTTTGGGGAGATTTTTTCGCGGCAAAATTTTAATTTTTTTCTAATATCGGATTTGGTTTAACTTCCACATAAATATTTACCATCAAAAAATAAAAAAATATTCTTTTCTGAGCGAAATTTGAAAAAACAAGCGTTAAGGAGTTTTAAATGTATTAAATGTTATCCTATTCGCAAGGAATAAAAGTAAATTTTAACTTAAAAT